TATATTGGAAACCATGCGAACATTTTCACTTTGTTAAAAATGGGGGTGAGTGTGAGGTTGAGAGTAGATAGCCAGGGTGAAACAGTTTTTCATTTTCCCCGACGTCACGCGCCTTCTGCAATGTGTAAGCACAAAACTAAGCCTCATCCTAAACCCAAGCATTACCTTAGGCTTCGGTGTCTCCCCATCAATCGTCGCAGGAGAACGAAACAACATCGAGTTTCTGGCCGACCTTATTAGAAATCTTCAGGAAACAAGTTGAGACTGCCCGCCATCCCGTCGTTTCAGCGTGTAGTGTCAAACTCTACAGGCCAACTGGGACTTGGAACTGGGTTTCAAAAAATTAGAGATCAAATTCTAGGTGACGAACTTTCTACTCGAAAAATCGCGTGTCGTTCGACAAAATCGTGGTGATCGGAATTTCCATATCTTCTACCAGTTGTGCGCCGGTGCGGACAAGAACATAAGAAGTGAGTTTTGGATGCCGTTCTTTTTCAAGGATACGTTTTCTGATGGGCGGCGGTGCAGGTATGAAAATCCGTCAGAAATAATTTTAATTCTAATAAGCGCGTAGAATGAAGGGTACCCGACAGGGGCCATGACGCAACGAAAAGGCAGAGACCCACTCGGGTCAGCGGACGAGTTGCAGCGCGTACAGCAGTAAGTTAGCGTCAAGTTGATTAGAGACTGACATTTTGTCCCACATCGCACAACATGCGTTGTGACTCCGCCGACCCGTCTGCGTCTTTGCCTTCTCGCCGCGCGACGGGCCTCCTGTCGGATACTGTGAATGACAGAATGTCTCGTGGAAGCTTCATTGAAGCGGCTCAAATCTCCACTTATCAAATAACTTTGAAGAATACCAAGTTTTGTACTTTTACGTGGAGTTCCACAAGTGCTGACTGAGCGTAAGTTTACTTATTTTGCAACCGATTAGTCAAAACTCACGAAAAATCCCTTTCTTAAGCAACTTGTTCTTATTTTTTCGTTTTTAGCATAACTTTTCTATAATCGCCTGCGCGGCCATTATTCTTATTCTTCATCCTTTCTATGGAGCAAAAATGGGAAAGCTACGAAGCGATTTTGATAGCTAGATTATTCACTGTTTCATGAGTTATATTTCTTGGATAGGGGTGGCTTTCTTGGCTTTGTGGGATTGCTTCGCGATTTTCCTTCACACCCTCGCGAGTGACGTGGCGCGATCTTAAGGGAAATGTCTAGAATCCCATTAGATTGTAAGCTTATTCACAAAACTTCAACCAGAATGAAATCACAATTAGTACCATTTCTCATGGGCTTTTCCTTACCATTCAAATTTATAGTTTCTAACCAAAGCTTAAGTCTTGTTTCAGTTTTCCCTTGCTATGTTTCTATTATTGAAAGCAATTCAATTCCAGCGACACTTGGCATTGGAGATCTCGACTATTTCAATTATTTGAATCATAGCGGAGTATATAAGGCCCCAGACACTGACGACGCCAAGGAATTCCAAAATACCTTGGTCAGTGATTTTCTTATGTACTATTGCACCTTATGAATGATGATGAAAAAGTACTTCTTGAGTGCTAACCAAATTCAAAGCAGGCGTAGTTTCCTCGAATATTTCATGAAACTTCCTCAGTTGTTGGGGTTGAACACTTCTTTAGTTATAGTGAGATTAGATTGCTAAAAGCAGGGTCTGAATGAAAGAAAACGGGCGAAAGATAAAATGGGTATCGACTGATACTCCGAAGTTTCCTCTCCCGCAAGAGTCCCTTTTACCGCCAATAATTTCGAAGCAGTTAAGAGAAAGAGAGAAAAATGAAGGCGAGCAACATCCATATTGCAACAACCGAATGGCTGTGCTCCAGTGAAGTGCAGCTTGATCAATCCACCGGGTGCATTTTAAGATAGGCTTCGATTTTACGCGCATGTGACCGCTGTCTAACTTGAACGTGCATGTTCTTATGGGCGATTTGAGGATCGCGAGTAGCTCAATATCCTTGAATGGATGTGCTTTCTCCAGTTAACAGCTCTTCTCTGCTTAATTTTAAAGAGAGTTCTAAACATGTTCTTGTTTTTTCAGCATGCCATGAAAGTTGTAGGCATCAGTGAGGAAATACAACTGGAAATCTTGAAGATCGTTTCTGCTGTACTGCACATCGGAAACATCACTTTCGTCGAGGAGAGGAACTTCGCCGCTATCGAAGCACCAGACTGTGGGTATAATTTTTCGCTTGCTTTAAGGGTCATCTCCGGAAAACCTTTATCTGAATTCAAAGAGAGTATTTAAAATTATTGCGTTTTTCAGTTTTGCAATTTCCCGCCTTTCTTCTTGGTCTTTCTACAGAAGCGATTCAGCAGAAGCTCACTGCACGAATGATGGAAAGCAAGTAAGAAAGGTTTTCGTGGCAGTTCTATTTCGGGTGATAATTCTCACACATGGACACATCATTCATGGGCACTTTCACTTGAAAGTTTTATTGGTATTTTATTAGTATTTCAGCACAGTCCTGGTAGTAGCACTGCGCTAGAGGTGCCATCGTGTCCCAAGCGCTTAATGTAAAATTCGTACTTGGAGGACGAATTACTATGAAGAAGGGGAGATAGCCACCACGGTCGGAATACACGCCACACGTCTGCCTTATCGCGCAAAAACTTTGCGTTCTACGGATTTTCGCATTTTTTCGCCACAGGCTTACTTTGAGCACGTGCCTCCCCCTCCTAAGTCCGCTCTAGATCTTTTCCCGACGTAATAGTATATAGCTGCGTTATGTAGTGCGTTGCTTCTTGATGTGTTCTTGAGATTTTATTAGATCTTTAAAGAGAGGAATTTTCAGATGGGGTACGAAAACGGAACGATAGACGTCACCTTGAACGTGGAACAAGCGAATTACACTCGAGATGCGTGGGTGAAAGCGCTGCATTCACGACTCTTCGATTACTTGGGTAAGTGTTAAAGGTTAGTCTTTGTAATACGTTTGAGCTAGTAGGAGTTGGATATGGGACCTCATTATTAGGCAGCCGGCTCTTGACAACCGATGCAACTTTTGGAACACTTCGAGGTCCATTAAGTTCGCTGCCTTGCCGTCAGAATCGCCGAGTATGACAGTAGAAAAATGCACCAATCTTTAACCTTCTGGTCAAATATCATCGGCGTCCTCTCTTGAATTACTTCATTTTTGCCACTACGGGTGTAAGGTACGGGGGCATTGAGGTAGGAGTATATTGAAGACCATGCGAACAACTTCATTTTGTTAAAAATGGTTGTGAGCGTGAGGTTGAGAGGAGATACGCTAGGGTGCAACAGTTTCCATTTTCCCCGACGTTACCGCACCTCCTAGACTCGGTCCTAGAGGATGCCCCCGTCCCCTGCGATAGTGCCATAGCCATTTTTTTTTCTTCAATTCATGTTTCAGTGGCTGCTGTGAACGATGCTATAGAAGTCGCCGCTGACCAGGATACAGGTCTTTCTGTCGGAATTCTGGATATCTATGGTTTCGAAATTTTCGAAAACAACGGCTTTGAACAATTCTGGTGATTTTTTGATTATTTTAGGTCGAAACTTTGTTAAATTTCCTCTGGAAACAAAAACGTTTCAGTATCAACTTCGTTCAACGAGAAGCTACAGCAAATCTTCATCGAACTCACCCTCAAAGCCGAACAAGAGGAATATGTCCGTGAAAAGATTCGCTGGCAAGAAATCGAATACTTCAATAACAAAGTTGTTTGCGATTTAATCGAGGCAAAGCGACCACCTGGTAAGTGATTTTCAATTGAATGTTTTTATATAGCAATGGGAGACCCCATACTGAAAATATTGTGGGTCCTACCTAATACGGCCCTTCGCCCAATAGCAAGATGTTGGGGTAAAAATGCCAAGCTATGGGGGAGCAATGGCCCTCAAGTCAATAATAAGGGCAAAAGAATACGCCAAAGGCACTAAAATTGGATACTACTCGTCACTATGAATTTGGACATTCCACTAGATCGTGGCGAAGGAACTTGGATCCCAGTATGAAGGTAGGTCAGTGAAGTTGAGAAAGGAGGGTGAAACATTCGCTAGCCTCCTTGTCCTTCACCTCAAGGGAAGATTTCACGATAAAAAAGTAACTCATTCGAAATAACGGAAGAAAAAGCCATAAGAGACGGCCCGCCCGAGAAATGAATCCTTCTTCGCCCGTTGATTTCCGCATTGATGCGACTCTCATCGGTGCTGCCCTCTTTAACACTAACGCACTCTTTCTGCTAAACGGCTATGGGGTCAGAGAGCGGGGGGAGCAGTAAGGACCATGCTATAATAGAACGTCGGGGGCATATCCTTCGCTGCCGATTGCGTGCCGGTCCACACCCATAGGGGGTCCAGCTGCTTTCCAACTAGGTAAGTAACCCTTCTCCGACCTTCCACCCTATCGTGAAATCCCCTTCAAAGGGATGGAGCGGTCATTGGGCGTCATTGGTGAAAGAGCGTCGGGAGGTGTTCTTGACCAACCACTCGGCGCTCTCCCAACAGTGATCAGTGGCATCGTCAAATAACTTCGTCTTCAAGAAATTGTGTTCACTGCCATTTAACGGATAATGCAGCCTGAATACCCTGTTTATATAAGCCTTGGGCTTTGCACCTTATCAGGGTGAATGTCCTTCCAGTTTTACTCTAAAACGATTGAGGACTAATTTTTCTTCTGCAATGTCCTTGATTGTCCTTTTTCCATTATTATTCTTTGACAGGAATTATGATAAACACTGCAGAGCTCATTCTAAATGACAAACTTCAGGCATCATGTGCATATTGGACGATGTATGTGCACAAAATCATGGGCAAGTCTGAAGGAGTCGACGCCCAGTTGCTGAGCAGTCTCAACAAAACCTTCATTCAACATCCGCACTATCAAAGCGGAGCTGAATGCTTTTTGGTGAAACACTACGCGGGTGATGTGAGTGCAACGTCTACGTAATAAGCAAACTGATTCCCACATATGACGCTCATAAGTCTGGGTTGAATAAACGCGATTTGCCGGTGCTGTGATTTCCTGGTTCTTGAAATTGAATTGAAGGCACAACCCAGGCAGAGGTCGTGTGAACGCTTCTCTTCGGTCTGTAGTATAGACCCCTAGAGGACAATCACAAATGTGGCGTTCCCGTGCACGGAAACCAACCGACAAGAGCGCTTGGGCCTTGCAAAGTAAGCTGCTGAAGCTGCAGTTTTTTTCTCTTATCAGGCTGTTGTCTGGCGCTCTCTCATCTGTAGCGCTCTCTCGCCTCATACTCTCCTCTCCGCGCTTAGTCTCTCATTTTAGCACAGCCGATTAGGAAGGTGAGTGAGCCCTTAACCTAAGCGTTTTCGACGGATTCTTTTCCTTTTTTCTTTACTGCCGGCCCACTTCGCACCGATACATTCGCATTCGTGTGCAAGAGCCACACCAGTGTGATCCTGGGGCATGCCTTTAAGCAGGTGACTGTTTAAGAAAACAATGAGAAAAATAAGAAAACAGCCATCAGTGATATGATATTGCATGTCGAGATTCATATAAGCTGATTAAATAATTTATTCGAGAAATCACTGTGAATTTTCTACGGGTATGAATTACAGTATAATAAATTTCAGGTCGTCTACAATGTTGACGGGTTTTGTGATCGTAATCGAGATGTTCTTTATCCGGATCTTATTGTTCTGATGCAACAAAGCTCAAAGTATGTCATATCTCATTTGCGTTTTTATGATCTTCATCCTAGAAAGGGTGCCCAGACGTGGGTCGAGAAGTTGTGGCGGCGTGACAAGAGCGAGAGCAGCGTCCAAGCGGTTCGCAATAATAGGAACGCCGCAATCGGCTCACCAACTCCACCCTTGAGGAAATGGTAATGCAGTTTGCGCCGTGACAATCTTCAGCATACACTCGTGGCATCCCAGAAGTCACGCATGTAACAGTTTCTATGGTAGCACTGGGAACGTTCCCTGTGCGGATCCTGAAATTATCCTCAGAAGCATCATAAAGGGGAGTTAGCTTTCGTCCTTCCCCGCCTGAATGCGTTATGTGCAGTGACAGGAATTAGTGTATAAAGGTTTCTACATGAGAACTGGCATTCCAAAAAGGGAGTAACGAACTTTTGAAAACCACTTTTTATGGACGCTTCTTGGGTACCTGCGCGGAGCCAAAGGAGTCGATGTAACGGAAAGCCATGTATGGCGAGGTGTGTACTTACAGTTTGGGAAGATCTGATACAAGAGTTTTCTGCTAAAATTGCTGTAATATGACGGAGAGGATCAGCACTTGGGGCAGCCAATCGGTGGGTGTGGACAGGCGCAAAGAGAATTTGCCCCACATGAGTAGGGCTCCAATAGTTCATTACTGGTTCACTCGTCACAACAAAACGCTCCTGTCCTCGCTCCCTCGAAATGCCTGGCACTTTAGTAGATATATTAGGTTGGTAACTTTGAAATGTCGCTTCCTTTAGTGGCTCTGTTTCTCAGCTGAAACTCAACCTCGT